CGATCGTTTACCAACTGGCAAAACTGTCACCGTCACAAACATAGTCAAGCCCAACCCACTCCACACTCGGAGACTCCAGGTCTGACGCTCACGGGCACTACTCCCAACGCGCTAGACTCAACTCGAAGAACTAACGTTCTTCGAGTCTCCTTTGACGCTATACCCTACGTCCTGAAATCCTAGGCAACTACTAAATATAGTAAGACCAAAAACTACATGACAATACGCTTTCGATGTCTATGGCAAGTTTGATAGAAACAAAGATTACGTGTCGGTTTTGTGGCGAGTCCGAGTAAGACGAAGAGTACATATCTAATGGAGACAAAGACAACGTGTTGGTTCTTGCGACAAGTCCAATAGAAACAACAATTACGTGACATAATATCTAGAGTCAAAAGCAAAACTGTTTCGTATTTAGCACATATTAAAAGAAAAATGTTTCTGTTATGATATTGACCGCGTACTTAATTTATGGACATCGCAAGTTTTATTTTCGGTTAATTTTGGGATATTGTAGACGACTTCCAAAATTTAGGAGTACTTAGGTAATCTAATGTGACATTCTCTTGTAATCAAATCACAAAGGAACATTCAAATTGTTGCGTCCACTTATAGACATTATGAGCATCATCAAACGTAGTATGGCCATTATATAATTTCTCCTCAAAATGTTTGTAAGAGATCCAAACACTGGTTAAAATAAATTTTCTTCATTTTTTAATAGTGTTAACGTTTATAATATGACATGATGTATAAATATGCTCATAACTTACAAATCGCATCATCACTCCATTAATTTCAAAGATTCTAAATACTAAAACTTTATGTATCATCAATATTATTTTCCTCATCATGAAAATACAATGTGAGAATGACATTAACCTTCAATGAGCAACAAGTATATGCAAAGTGAAATATAGGATTTATTTTTTACACATATTGTTTATTTCTTATAATCAAGATTTACAATTATTTTGGATACTATTGAACTGATTCAATTTTTTTTAAAACCACATACTAATCTTAATAGAAAGTTTTTCAAACAAAAGAAAGTCAAGTCAAAAGTTCAATACATAGTTGTACATTATGCTTCAGTTCGTAAATACAATTTCATGAAGTACAGGCAAATGCTTATTTCCAATTCAGCAATCTATGAGATTCATGTTAAATTATGACAGTACGTTACTTTGATTCAAAAAAATTTGTTTTATTTTCATTAAACAATTATATATCAAAACATTACATAAAATTATCATTTTTTAAACATATGATTTGTAAAACTGATCATTTTGTAAAAAAAAATTATTATTCTTCCAAAAACTCAATATTATTTGTAAGAGACATATTTTCATTTATTTAATCAGTTGAATACAAAGATTAAATCCTCCAAAAAAATTAAAGTATAAATTTTTAACCATGTACTACATAAGTATATGATAGTTTATAATGATAAAAAAAATTCTAAGTTTTATTCAATTTAAATGATTTCATTAAAAAAATTTATTGAAATCTGAACATGAATAATAATCACAATCACAAATCTTTCGAATTTATCATGCATAGAGTTATGTGTGTATGATAAATTAATAAATTTTTAAATACAAATGTGTGACCAAATACAATAACCTTCCACTTAAATACCCGTTTAAGTACACAAAATTTTACTCAAAAAATGTGAATCAAGATTTATTTAGTTCAAAATGCAAGTTTGGAATACTCTTGTGTTTGGATTCCAATTTTCGGCATTAGGAGATGTATTTCGATAGTTGTACAAACCAGTATGAATCATTTTGTATACTTTTTAGATAATATTGGGACAATAAACAATGAGAGTTGTCTAAAACTTTGAGTAATATACGACAGGATCTGTTGACTTCAAATCACTCTTTGATAAGCAACACTTTTTGCAACCCTCATCACTTTGTGATTGATTTAGCCAAATTGATAAATGCAATACTTTTTGCTTTGGGAATTGCGGAATAGAAAATTTGCTTATAAGCATGTCAAAGCATTTCTTCAAATTCGATTAAACAACCAACCAAATTGAAAAATATTCTCTTTAAATTCAGAAATTTAGTCAGATCTTTTTAGGATTTGCTAACGTTTGTCTCACACATTTGTTTCAACTGCTTCACTAACTTTGTAGTCGCAAACTTTAGATCTTTTACTGGAAGCATTGGTGCTATTCAATGTATATCACATCTAAAGTTCATTCAGTAATTTCGTTTTTGTTTTTTTACAATTGATTAGTCTAATTAACAATTGTTATAATAAATCTGAAAACCCGTCTAGGTAAATTTCATAAAATCGTTTGTATAAATTTAAATTAAATTGAAAAATATAAATTGAGAAAAAAATCTAAAAGTTATATATGAATCTTTCATAAGTTACTCATTGTCGTTGATAAGTTTATAGAATGCATCATTTGAAGAGATTACAACCTAGATGACTATTTGATCACCGGAAATATACCCGAAATGAAATTTAATTGAGTTTAGGGTTCTAATTCGCCTAAATACGCACCTCCTAGATAAATAGTCACAATACTTCGAGATCAAGTTGCGTACTTGAGTAGGAGATCATTGTATGCTTCAAATATCATGATATATTGTACGTAAATTAAAAAATCATTTTTAACATTTGAATTTTAAATAATATATATTATATTTAAGTTTCATGAGATATTTTTCACATTATGTAAATTTTCCCTTCAATCCATATTCATCAATTGCAATAACCAAAGTGTAGTCTAAGTAAACATTAGATAACAATTCTACTAAATTTTCACAATACAATCCCTTTTATTTTTAAAATTTGAAAAGTAAGAGATGTTTTTTTCTTCGTTACAATCAAATGAAAAAAGATGTATAATGCATAAAGTGTCAATATTTCTTCAAGTTTAACAGTTTGCATAAAAAATTAAAATTAAAATTAAATGCAATATTTTTACTTTACAAAACATGAACAATTTTAAATGCAAAGAATTTTTTTTGATGAATTACATAACCAGAATATGAAGTGCTTGTATTTAAATTTTTTTTATATGAACAATAAAAATAACTTGAATATTAATAAACAAAAATTATTATAATTATAATATTATTAATTTATTATTCAATAATATATTAATCTGATATAATTATATGCTATAATACAGAGGTATTAAGTCAAAAGAATTATTAGATTTTGTATCATGATAAAAAGCTATGATCTTGTCCCCTAAATTTTTTATATCAAACATTAAATTATTTTTTATTATAATTCTTTATGATAATTGATACAAATAAATCTTGATTGTAGGTTTTTAATGAAATATTTATTTATATAAAAAAAATTATATATTGAAAAATTATTACATCTATCTTTCAAAATTTACACAAATATATGATTAGATTTTTAAAACTGTTTTGGGAATGTGTTCCAACATCTCTAAAAAATCTAAAATTGACATGGTATGATTCTATTACTAGTTTTACTTTCAGAAAACAAATATCAGTATAACTTATAATACTGAAATTAAAACTGATGACAATATTTTTATTTTGATAGTGATTAAGTATATAGTGATTTTTTTTAGTTTTGTAGATTAATTGAATCATAATATCACAATGATATTTGGATTTCGATAAGTTTAAATGAATCTTTTGAGTTTCATTTATTATGCAAAATATATTCCTAATGATGTATACTTAAATCTATAAATTTACTTCTAACAAATCCTTACATCAACAAAAGTTTTAAAAAAATGTTGAATAATTTGCAAAATGATATCTTAATGATTAGGCATTTCCTATTCATTTTTTATTCAATTCAGCAGTGATAGGATGAAGTTGTAAGCTGCTTCGCAAAGTATGTAATATTTAATCATCAATAATTGCAATTTCAAAAGCATGATTTCAATATTGTTTAGCGAAAAACACGTTTCTAAATTTTTAACGCAAATTAGATTAATTTTTATTTTACAATTTTTTTTTCTAAATTGTCTTTTTCTTATCATTTTTTAACATGACTTTGACATGAGACTTTTTTTTTCCATGATTTATTACACAAAAATTTCAAAGGTTTAACTAACATTCTTATTGACAACTATTTTAACGTTATGATTTTTCAAAAGGTAAGTTTAAAATGAAAAAACACAAATAAAATTTAAAAAAATTCTTTAAATCAAATTAACAAATGACTAGAACTTTTTTTTTATGATATGAAATCAAAGAAAAAGATAACCAGAAAGTGAATTTTTTTTTCATTTTCTGGTTTTATTCAGATTTTAAAATAAGAATTGAATTAGTTGATTCATAAATTATTTTGTACTGTGAATTAAATATTTGATCAATAACTCAATTTCAATTTTAATTTAGATGTGTTATTTTGTATCTTAAAAAAATGTAAAATTCTAATTTAATTAAATCGTGAAATTTTTTATATTTCTCGATTTGTGTGTGTCAGCCTTGCGCAGGGGCATGTTAATTTTTTTTGTATCGGATGTCGCCGAAAGGACTAAACTGATAGCAAACCATTGAGATGAATATGCTATAAAAAATTTATGTACAAAATATATTCAAGCCGTCAATTACAAAATCAAGAAAATGTAGTTATATAATTAAACGTGTTGAAATTATAGCTAAAGTACTGTACAAGCAAAGCGGATTCAAAAAACACATTGATTCACGTGATTACTATTCTATGTACAGCATTGTTCGTATGGAAAATAACTCTTCAAGAAATCATATAGACAAATCAGATTGAAAGATGACATATATTGTTAAAAGATTCGTGGCTCTAGTGTTTAGTGGAATATTTATTGGTGGCATTTTCATTCCGGATTCAATTCCTAATTACATGCATGAAATTGAATCCATACAGATAATCGAATGTGGTCATGGGAAGAAATTACATAGTCGGTTCCAATATTGTGCAAAGATTGGATTTTAAGTGGAACACAAAATGTTATATAATACACTTATCCAATTCCAATTCTATTCACCAATTGGAAGCATCGTAGTATGCAATCATTGTAGTTTCATGTTTCATAGAAAATTGGAAGCATCTCTTTCCACATCATCATGGTTTCACAAATCCATTCAAAACTGGGAATCAAAAGTACTCACCAAAGGAGCATGTGGCCTACTGACGCACGGAGTCCTTTCACCCAAAGTGGCTAAAGCTCTCTCACATGCCGAGGTAGAAATATCACGCAAGAAGAAACGGAGGTTACATATTCTCCTTTCGAGCACTTCAGAGGATCGAAACAGTCCTCGGCTTAACTGTTTCACTCATGATTGTACCGAATGATCAAAGTCAGAGTCGGTACTGTTTCTTACGTATGACGTCGCAGCCAATTCAGAACAGTACATACCCCCAGCAATTCAGAACAGTACCGTATATACTCTAGATTTGTGTGCACCAGATTTTCATGCGCTCCATTCGCCTTGGGTTCAGTTTCATGGTCAATTTTGACCTCCTCTACTTTCTCTGGCCATTCGCAATTTAAGACAGGAGGGATATTGCATTAAAGATAAAAAGAAGAAAATGGGAGAGGAGAGGCCATGGATGAAGCTGCGACGGATTCGACATGCATACATGGATCTCCATAGCCGTGTGAGCAAAGATAATGAGCTAATGAGATTGAAGTGAGAGGATTGAGTGTCCTATTGTGATTTTGAATAGGGAGAGTGGACAAAAGGCTTAATTTTAGGCGATGTGACTGAGTGCCGGCGGCGTTCGTGCTGGCTGCATCAGGACATGACTCTCCGAGCAGCGAAGACCTGATTAGTTTGTTGTGCCCGATGTCTGCCTGGAAATAGACGAGCCCTTGCATGGCCTGCTTGATGCAGACGGAGGGAGGGAGTCAGACCATCTCAAGGCCGTCATCGAGAGAAGATCACAACGGCCTCGGAGATGTACACCTGCCAAATCCGCGGTGTCGTCCGTCAAATAAGGCGGGCGCTAGGAAAGAGACACTTGGATCGGCCGAGGAAGCTCGGTGTCATAATCCCTGACGACGACGGCGAAGTCGTAGGACGTACGAAATCACCAGTACAGCCCTCTGCGATACCCTCTCATCTCCATCCGACACAACAACAACAACAACAGAATACTCTCAACTACACCTCTCACCATCGATTCCTTATACGATTCTTGATCCCGTGCAAAAAGCAAACTGGCTCCCTCCCTGCTCGGCTTGATCCATGAACGACCGTCAGTACGCATCTCCGGCAACCCACCCACCCACTAACTCATTCACTCGGCCACCTGGACGAATCGACGAAATTTCTCAACTTTTCTTGCTCCGAATGTCCATTTTTCGGCACCAAAAGGATTCCAAAGAGCGATCTTCCCTCCGCAAAAATTCTCAATCGATCGATCTCATGGTCGCACTCCCTCGTCATCGATTGCTACAGCAGTCAACACTTGCGGAGATAGCGCAATGAGTCCCGCCTCCGGAGCTGCTGGCGATGGCGTAGATGCACATTTCAGATTTGTCTCGTAGTCCGACGGGCGCCATCTCTCTCCCTCCTCTCTCTCTCTCTCTGGAGCAGGCGGCGACGTCACCCGAGAACAAACTGGTGGCCAAGGATATTCACCGGCTGCTAACGAACATTCGAAAACCTCGCCCCGGGGAGGCCGGTGCAGTTGGAATATTCCCGCACCCCCGATGAGCGGCCTACGGTCGTCCTCACCGGAAAGACGAAGCCTTGCCATTGGCCCCCGACGGCTTTTGTAATCTACCTCCCAACCGGGTGCTCCCACGTGGAAGGGCGCGAGGACCGGGAACATTTTCTCGACCTGCCCGGCGACTGGGGCAGGAGTGGCAGGACCCCGCTCCCACTGCCCGGCCTCGGCGCGCCTCTGCTGCCCGCTCGTCAGCCCTGCCCGGGGTTCGCCTTAGGTTTCACGTATCTAACTCCGAGGCCTTTGTTCGTCGGAGATCATTCGTTTGTGACAGAACGCAGGGACGCAGGGAAGGACGAGGGACGAGGGAGGGAGGGAAGGGAAGGGGAGGGCAGGGGAGGGAGGGAGGAGGTAGACGAGGAGGACGAGGGGAGAGGTCTGTGTCAGATCGCGTCGCTGTCTCGTTGCACCGCCTCTGCTGCTGCTGCTCCTTCTTTATTCGGCACTCTGTCTGTCTGCCTCGTGGCGCGGTGACGTGCGAGAGTCGTTGGCGAACTGCAGCTTCGTTCCGTAGCTTGATTGGAGAATCATCCATCTCCGGGTCCCCTGCGTCGTGATTTATTCTGAAGAAGTGACTGTGCTGGATCTTGATTGATTGTTGTGGCCGTGTTCGGTTTAATCTTTCCCTCTTGCTTCCTCCTGCGGCCTTGTATTAAAGCGGAGGTGGAGACCGGGTTTGTGTCTGGTCCCAGGTGGGGAGGAATTAAATCAGGTTGCGGAAGCTGGCACTGGAAGCGGAGCGAAGCGTGTTGAAGGGACGAGTAGAATCAGGCTTGTAATCGTGTTTTGGAGGGACTGGTCGGTTGGCGTTTCGGAGGAGGGAGAGAAGAGAGGAGGCGAGTGCAGATTGGCCCAGGTTTTTGTTGGTTGAGTTACCGACTAGTGAAGCCCTCCATCTGCACGATCGCGGAAACGTGGTTCGTGTTTAAAAATTAGTGCTCGGGCTTTTGACAGTTGTCAGAAGTTTGTCTTTGGAGGTCCTAAAATCCGTTTCCGAGGGATCGACGATTGGTCGTATTTCTGTACTGGAGTAGGCAAGCGACAAGCGTTTGCTGGGTCATCCTTGACTGCGGAGTGTGTGGCCAGAGGTTCGAGAAGGGGATTGACTGACCCGTAAATTGATACTGTGGTTCCCGGTGTGTGCTCTAAAGTTCTGCCCTGAGCATTCTTCCGAGGGCTGGTTCGTTTGAAGGACTTGCCACTCGGATCGGCCTTTTGTAGTTCAGAAAGGCTGCCTAACGACGAAGCTCCGGGCTCTTGAGCGCTCCACATCAGTAGGATAGAATAGTGATTCTGAGGATACAGTTCTATCCACGTACAAATTCTTCTCTTGGACATTTCAATTCCCCTCGGATCTAATTGGGTCGTTTTGGTGTAACACTTCCGCGACTCTCAGGCCGAAGCACTCAAAGACATCTATCTCCAATCCGATTCGGCTTCAGAAAGAAGCCGATTCCAAGGAGGAAACAACTCTGACCGCGAAGCTCTAGGCTGAAGTAGCCTGAGCGTTGCTGTTTTCCACCCCGCTTGAGCTATGAGCAGTACGGCTGTCGCGACACCGTTACCTGCAACTCGCGGGGTGTCTGAGAGAACAGGTACACAGTAATTAGTCATTTAATCTGAACTGACTGGCTCGGAATTAACTTGTTCTGAAATCTTGGCACATCATTTTGCATGGCAGCATCTGTTCTTGGCCAATATGTGATGAATCGTCTCGTCCTTTTCTGTTGCCAGGGCTTGCCGAAGCTCCAAAGGATTCAAGGAGAAGTGAAAGGTCGGCAGGAAAAGGTGCAATTGGAGAAATTGTTTGAATTTGATGCTTCCGTTATGCGGTTCTGTGCCACCCTCCCTGTGAGGATTAAAGGAAGCTCTGCGTGAGCACGATGCCCCCAGAGTCCGTGGATGACTCTTACGCGGGGTCAGCGTGTCTCTCAACTTCCGGTCGTACTTTTGCATGCCTGTGCTGGAAGCTCAAGCCGAATGAGTAATTTCTCTTTCTCATTTTCCGTTATTGGAAAGAAACTTGGGTGAGTTGTTCAAATTTCTGGCAGTGGAAATTTGAATTTATAGATTCGGTCCGCTCTCTCTAGGACTTGTGGCCCCTATTGAATTATTCATGCGGGCTCAGGTAGGAGAAGAAGAGCTGCAGCCGAGCAAAGACGAATTGAGCAGCAGAGGTGGGGTCAGTACCTTGACGATGAAGAAGACCCCGTTGTTGTTCCCACTCCGGGTGGTAACAGGAGGCGCATGCGACGCTCCACAAGGCGAAACTCTGCTCGAGATGATTTGGAGGATTATTTAGCGGGGAATTTGGACAGTGATTTCTCAAATACTCCCTCTCATGGCAACGATGCCACCGAATTGGATGTTGCTCTAGGTGAGACCCTTTACTCCCCGGAACCATGGATTCTCGCAAGCATATATAGCTTTTATTTCAAAAGTTTAATACCTAATTTCTTGGTGGAACTTGGAATGTGTTTCTAGTGCTAGACGTCTTGTTATCATGATAAGAAGCGATTTTTACATATCGACTTACATTGACTTATGTATCCCGCCTCCTCATCACACTTGCGACGTGGACTTGCAGCTCTATCGCTGTCATTATCCGAATCGGCAGCAAGTGGCTCAAATATGGGTGTGACGGTCCTTCCAGACATGTCATACGAGGTGAGTCGGGCTGTTGGTTTCATATGTTCGTCCTCATATTGTTTCCAAAGATGACGGAATCAAGTTAGATTGGGGTTTTCCACAAGCTCTGGAGTCTCACTATTTTCCTGTGGGAGTCTGCGGTGATCTATTCAATTCGAGTCTGACTACTGGTTTCAGGGGGAACAGTTCAACGCTATGGTTCCTGACTTAGGCGAATGAACCGTAATCGATTGCTATTGCACTTGTGTTTGCTACCATCTTTAGCATGTAATCTAAACATCAGCACAGTTGATCAAGGATCACTGGTACAAGGCCGTGTGACAGTTCTGTGTTTATTTATGTTCCATACTCGATCACATCCTTGGGTTTCAGTGTCACTTTCTTATTTTTTTTAAACAGTTCCAGATTCCCATCTGACAGTCCAGTTCCACTATTTATATCCATTGTTGAGGTTTGTTACAAGTATCAATAATTCAAGTGTTGCGTCTCTTCCTAATGAGTGTTTTGTCCTCGGATGCAGACCCTTGTGATGTTGGAGAATGTCAAATGTGTTGTGTCAGCAGAGGTTGTTGAGTCGCTGAGAGTATGTGCTTACAGCGAAAAGGAGCGTCCTGACCACGAGCAAGCAGAAGAGTAAGTTGTTCTCGAATGTGTGCATTATAGTATGTTTAGTTCCTGCGATATGTGCTTCTGACACGCGGCCTCTGGTTGAATCCACTAACGTTGCACACTCATTTCACAGGGTATGTGCCATCTGCCAGTGCGATTATGAGGATGCGGATCTTCTTATCAAGCTCCCTTGTACGCACAAATTTCATCATGGCTGTGGATCTGAGTGGTTGTTGAATTACTCCAAGTTATGCCCAGTTTGTAAGCATGACGTTACCGAGTAGATGTCGCAACAACTTTGGTATAAACTGAGGATCATGCTGCGAGATGTATTTTAGCACGAGTACTGCTGCCAAAATTGCAGCAAATTCTTGCACTCATCCGCTACAGACAGGAAGTGCCGGTTAAAACGGTCACATTGGCTGTTTTTGGAACACTGTATATATTTTGCATGCTTGTGTACAGAGCCATGACAAGTGGTGTTAGGTCCTCTTAGACACTAAGTTTATTCCCTGCAGCTCTTCCGAGGAGACCTGCAGCCTCTTGTACAATAGAGCTGTGGAAACGTGTTTCATTAATACCAAATTCATTCCTTAGACTCATCCTGCTACCGTTGATAGGCTCACATCCTGCACACCTTATTGTCAGCGCCTGATAAGTTGTCTTAGCGATTTAGAACCGCTCCTTTGTGTAAGGAATGCTTATAATCAATGGGTCCAGCCCGGTTACTTTTTCTCAGTGGTGTCATTGTGTTCGCAAGTGGGTGTCATTCTTAACTCTTGACGATATATTGCTCTTATCTACCATCTACACTACCAATCTGGCAACCGAACCAACTTAACATGTATCATTTTATTATCTGATGATTCACGCAATAGGGTGGGTTTAGTGCTTCACGATTCTTAACCAACACCAGTATTGAAGAATAATTTGCACGAGCTGATGAAAGTGGTTTACGTTGTCTCAGTCAAACAAACCTGCTGGAGGTAAAAAAACCGCTATGATAGCTCGCGTATTGAATTAGTCAGATGAGTGGAAGACATTACCCAGTAAAGAAACTGGCGAAATCAGCCAACAAGAAACGCTGAAATGGACGCGATTGTATCGATGTTGCAGATAATCTTTTAGAAGGAAGCATGTCGAATGAATCCTTTTCATGTTTTCTGAATCGTGTGTTTGTTAACTGTCGGAGATGATGAGTATTGTTTATGAACCAGAACAATAAAGTAGCATGTGAGAAACATAATCGTCTTCTTTAAAATTAAATTACTTATGTAGTAATGTTCACACATTGAATATAGTACGACAAACATCTTCTCTCATCTCAGAAAGATGAGAAAGATGGATGTTACAGGATGTTCCCTGTTACAAGATTGTTGTATTCTGATGATATCTTTCTAGTTTTCTGTCACGCTGTATGATTTTTTTCCTTCTGATAGAATGGTAACCTAAAACATGTCTAAATTCTATCTCACTAAGATATAAAGAACAGTGGACGGATTTTGCCATTTTATTATGACCGAGTCATTGTCACTTTTTGACTCTTATATCAATTCACAACATATAGCAATGACAAAAACTTAACAAGCATTAATATCCAGAGAATTTTTGGAATTTTATCTCGTTATCCATGTCATCGAATGTTTGTATTGCAAACTACTTAGACCTGGATATCCTTACAAACGACGTCTTCGAATAGGTTGATGAGAATGAGCGATTTTTCTCATACACGTTCATTAAGTTAAATGTACTCTTGAGTGGAAATCATTGGTATGAGAATTATAGGTTTAACATCAAACGGGTGAATTTTTACTTTATCTTTCGATATACTTATCTGTACCTTTCAAGGTTTATAGCTTTATTAAGTACTTTTAAAGCAATTTTTGTAAATTAAACCTATAGAAGGTACAAATTCGCCACAAGTAGCTCGTCAAACTTAACTTTACAACAGGTGTATTCATTAATCCTTTGGGCCAACTTACCTTCTCTAACTCCCATTTTGATAGATACGGTTCAGACTGGACGACAAACACAACATCATCTGGTTTCGAAAACAAACCTGAGTTTCAGTCACAGTATGAACATGAAGTAATAAAAAAGGTTTACAGGTAAGTATATCAATGAAACATCGTTAAACTACCACGACACTTTCCACAAAAACTTTATTACAGGCAAGGACTTTTTTGTCGAAATATGAAACAGTTTATCGAGGTGTGAAACAGCCTTTGTGTGGGTAACGCTCTATTCCGTTAGATCACACTTCTCACGTTTTTGTTAAGAACTGCCAGCTCCATAGCTGTACTATTTTTGTTTCGGAAGACTGTAAGCGCTTTTCTGGTTGTTATATAATCTTACTGCTACACTTATGTTACAAATTTATTTCGAATAGTTATGCGAACCGTATGTACTGCTATATTTCAAATTGGGGAACGGATTACTGTTGACAGGTTTTTACTTTTTGGTTGTAGTAAGTCAAGTTCTTTCCTCTTCTCTTTGAACCCCTTCAACGCATTTCTGTACAATTTAGAGTATGCTTCTATCATACATGGTACTTCCGAGGAATTTATGAAATGTATATCGGTAGATAATACCTGGTTAATTGATCAATTACCAAGGTTTCATGTTCGACAATTGGTGTGTGCACGTGTTTATCGTGTTCATGTAAGCACATGAAATACACATGCACTTGATTTAAGAGAGTACATAATTCTAACAACTTCCGTAAAGCAAAATATTCATGCTACTAGGCATTGAACTTTAATCACGTCAAACGGAATCGTATCAACGTATCATGTACATAATAAATTCTACATTTTATTCATTGAAGTTGTTAAACACCTAATGTCTATGAAAAAAAGTGTTTCTGATAGAATAATATTTTCTTAAATTATTTTTTTAATTTAATTCAGTTTTCATATTACTTAATTCTTTTCAATTTCACGAAAATAAGTTTTTTGTCTAATATTTTGTTTTTATATATTTTTTGGTACAATGCTATAAATGCTAGATTAGCAATAATTAATTAAACGAAAGATATATTTTGTTGATAATAATTAAGTCAACAGCTAACTAGTAAAAAATTGGTGAAAAACATTATTTTGCTTGTTTTCATCTCACATAAGTCGAAATTTTTTATCCAACAGCTACTTGATAAGATTGTTCAACACATTTGCCAATACGAATCTGAACACAAAAAATCTCACATCACTTGAATGTCTTATTTGCACAAACATTACAAATCGTTTCTATTTTCAACACAACGTCACTTTGATGATAAGTTCATGAACAAACTTGTATATTTCAAAGTATTTTTTGGCAAATCTATTACTGTAAAAAACATCAAAGTGAAGATTTTTTGGATTACTTGAATAATCTATCACCAGGCATGAGTAATAGTGGCATTTGCCACTAGTACCGGTATTAAGCTAATAGTGGCATGTCCAGATCTTTATTAGTGGCATCAAAGTGACACTATACAAAATCCATATAAAGAGTAACACCATCAATTCTTCGTTGTGATCTTCAGCAGCCCTTTGTGCTGCTCGGCATGGAGTACACACTCGAGCCCAAAATCAAAAAGGCTATGCATGAAAATATCCTTTCCATGCCTCAGCCTGGAGAAATCTGCCTCCACTATTGATTTGACGAGAAAGATCGTAGCCAAGCCTCCTGCAAACTCAAATAGAGTCGGGAATCGCGATCCAAGGATGCCCAACCGTACCTAAACGAAGTCTTGTGATCGTAGACATCGAGTGCTAATTTCAAGTTTTCCTCGGCATGGTAGCATCGCAGAAGAACTCTCCGTGTTCTTCTTCGATATCTTCGATCAATTTCGGTGTAAACTTGGCTGCCTGCAATCATAGGATATGCTTGCGAACGGTGGCACAAAATGGTGATCGCCTATACTTAACAAGCTCGTGCGGCATAACCGATGGAAACTGATCATTGACAGAAGCTTTCTCACTGGCATTGTTTCGCTTGACAGTGATCGACATAAGCTGCAAAGCCAATGAAAGAAGCAACAAACCAACAAGTTGGAGAACGTGAAGCCGCACGCTGTTCTCGGCAGGAATCTTGTCGAGCTTGGTAGACACAAAAGTTCCAAGGTCCCAAACGAACAGCTCAACGTTCGAAAAAGGCGTTGCAAATTTTCCAGTCACGACATGAACATCAAAACTAGCTGATGTCTTTGTCATGGCTTGCAGCTCGGACTAAAGTAGTGATACTTTGCCCTCCATCAACCGGCAGAACATCTCCAATAGATTAGACAGCTTGACCACTTGCTGGGACATCAAAGTCGTCATGCCGTGGAGGCGCATGAACAACATTGACGCTTCTTGTGCAAAAGAATGAACTGTCATCATAAGCACCCACCAGGCTGCAGATGGCCGGCATGTTGGGAGCTTCTTGTCCAAGTACAACTGAACATCGATCATGTGCTTCTTGTACCAGATCATGACCTTGATTATAGAAAGTCAACGTGTAATGGCAACCTTTGGGCACGTCGTCTTCATCTCAGTAATCAGATTTTGCTGGCGTTGCAGGTAGCTAATAAGGGTCCGAGAACAGAATAAGATTCGTCTTAAAGCAAGTTTTGATAGACGTCGGCCATGATGAGGTCAAGTTGGTGTGCACCACACAGACCCTGATAAAATTAGGCCCAATGACAATGTCCAAGAATATCAGCAGACCGACGTGCAGTCCAGTCATGTTCCTCGCTCCATTGGTCGTAATGTTGATCAAGGAGTCTCTCTAGCCTAGACAAATCGAACATCTTTGCGACCGCGCCTAACATTGATTGCCATGCGTGATGCTCGTTCACAAACAAAGCCAACAAGTGAAAGTTGTGGATATCGTCGCGGATCTAAAAACGAACTCTAATGTCAAGATATGATGTGCTTTGGTGTGTAGTTCCATCCAATGCCAGAAAGAAAGCCCAGTAATAAATAAGAAGTTCAGAAAGCATATACAGGTTCGATGCGCACATCACTTGAATGAATGATGAAACCTTGCGACGGTTGCAAACAGAGTAGCGAGCCATTCCTGTGAGTTCCTTCGTCGACTGAGCAAGGCAAGGAGTGAGGCAAAACGATGAACCAAGAAAAGTGAACTCGACGACCATGTCAAACAAGGAGCCGTTCTTGATTGCTATATTGTACACAACAACATGAGCATTTTCATTATTCTCCGGAGAAGAATCCTGGACCGGAACGAAGATACTCAAAGCTCGCCTCTAGATTTCTAAAGACGTCAGGTCTGGACGGCTACGACTATCTTAGTAGACAGCGATCTTCACTTCGTTGGCTTCTTCATCTGAATCATACTCATCGTCAACATCGAAATACATGCTACCAATGATCGTGTCGACAATGGCCACATCAATTTTGAAGAGTTGCGGTGTAGTTTTCAACCAAAAGTGGCTAAGGAGAGTACTCTTGATTGACACTACTCCGTCAAAGAAGCTGCCCTTCTTGTCATCCGCAAGTGCTTGATACTCCCTCCAATTGGACGTGTGTTGTGTCTCATTGGGCTTGCGGTAACTCTCGAGCCTAAACGGGGCTGTGTAGTACTGGGCATTCCTCGTTGCCTATTTTTTCCTTTCAGGTTGTTACTCTCTCCCAAAAATTTCACAAAATTGGCAAACAACACTACGGATCAAATTCGTCTTGGGATCAACATCGGTCACTCGTAGACCATATGTCGCCTCGTGGCCTTTTTGGAAGCAGTTCGTTTGCTTCTTTGGAAGCATAGCTCAGCACAAGCCAAAAAATTGAATAGTCAATAGTGTGCACCACCATATTGGTTCCACGGCACTTCACGGAGTGCGCCACGGATCCTTAATACTGGCACGCTGGCGAGTACCAATAGTGACACTAGGTGGCATTTTTTACGCAATTTCCACTATTACTCAAACATGTCTATCAGTGTTATATTCAAGATTTTTAAGAGCTGCATAATTTCTATACAAATTCAAATTGTACTTGGTGCAATCATACGCAACAATGAAGATAAATTAGGTACTTTAAATTTAAAATGTGACTGGTATCTATACTCATCTCTGACACTACTCCTGATTTATGTGATGTGTTAGGTTCATATCAAAACTGCATAATATTTTCTCTAAATTATCATTATCAATATCATTAAGTATTTTTATTTTTTTTATTAATTTCCTTGATTCTCACTGTTTTTGATCTTTTTTTAAGCTACAAGCAAAAGAAATCATCACCTAGGAAATAAAATTTGCTAGCAGAGATGTGAAAAACGTTTTAGTCAAAAAAAATTTATGAATCCATGAACTCATGAACAAGTTGTGGAATTTTTTGTTGAAATTGATGCATTGTGAAAATCAATCTTGATGTAGTAAATGGAGTAACACAAATATAACAGAAATTCATAAATTTCATCATGGTCAATAGTTGAAATGAAACTTTAACTTTCACACTTGATTTTTAATTTGTACTTGAAAATTAATTATCAACACATGCAAAACTTTTTGCTCATCATTGTTCAGATTCTAGTTTTGAATTTTTGGCATCTCAAAGCATATCAAAATAGTAGGATATCATCAAGATGGATCAAATTTGACATCAATATATGTTGAATATAGTGATTTTTTGTGTTCGCTACTTCAAGTTAGCTAGGTTATTTTGAAAATTTCAAGATTTTTAGAAGTGTGTTAAGCATTTTAATAAATTTCAAGTGTAAATTTTTGATTCTAAAATACAATAAGACTTTATCACATGTAAGACTTTATTCACTTGGTTTGACTAAAACTTATAATTTGAATTCTACTTTAAATTTGTGTTGACTCCAATCATATGAATAAAGTAGAAATTTCTAAGATAGATAAGAAATTTCATACATTCACATATGCATATAGTGGTTTTTGATGTTGTTAGTTGATGCTAGCTAAAATTTTTGTATAATTTCTAGACTTTAGAAGTTTCTGAAGCATTTCAGTATGTTTGAAGTGTAAATATTTGCATCTAAAATAACAATAACAAGTCATGCAAATAGTTAACTATTTCGCTCAATTTGAAGATACATTTTATATTATAACCAAAGCTTAATAAAAATTGAAACATGATCTTTAATCATAAAAAAAATTATGTTGTTTGAAACTTATTATCTTTATTAAATAGATCTTTTCAATAACAGACTCAATACAAGTCATAGATTACTGAAATTGTTAATTAACACTTACTCTTTATCTATCAAAATTCATGAATCTTTGACATGAAAACTATATACAATCCATTTCAAACCAACTTAATTTTCATCTTGAATTATCTCTATTTTAATTCTAATAAATTCAAGATAGTCACATTGGAGTTCTTAACAAAGATATTTTGTTATATATCCGCAAGAATCATTGTAAATTAACCTTCACAATTTTATTTCCCATTCTTATTTTGAGAAGTAAAATCATAAAGCATTTTATCTTTCATATTATTGTTTTAGATTGATCATAATAAAATTTACTAACTATTAATCTTTCTTTCATTTTACCAAATCAAATGCATATAATTATCATTATTCCAATATAAAATTCCTCATTTCTAACATGCAATTGAAAAATCAACATTTTTTAGATTTTATGATTTTCATATTTATTTTCAAGAATTCATTAAAACTTCATTCAATCAACACAAAAAACATACTTGGTCGATCTAAATGGTATTACGTCTATGAAACACAACTATTTTACTCCAAAAACTTTTCGATATGAGATATTGAGAGCTTTGATAAGATAGCTTATATAGTGATTAATATACTAGCTTAAAAAATTGAGTTCAAACTAACTAGAGTGAATTGAAATCTAAAATAGTTTATACAAAATAATTTTCGATGCATTAAATGTTGAAACAATAATGAGATATTTTCTTTTTTTTTTCATGTAGAAGATTATGATTTTCATGTTATTTGTAATTTTTTTTACATTATAATCTATTACGATGCATTTTGAATCTGACAACTATAATATTTTAATGTAATTTTCTATTTAATTTATAAAATATTTGATTTAAGTTATATGAAATAATCTAAAATAATTAAGTATTGATGTAACATGATTATCTTCAATGATTCATGCTCAACACTTGCTGGATTTGCAAAGTAAGGATATTAAAGAATGATTATCATAATGCTTACTGAATAGTTATTGAAAGGCAGCTACACAAGTAGCACATGCTATATTATATGGACTAACAAAAAGGAAAAGAATTTAATTTTTGTATTATGAAATCATAGTATACAAATATTTTTTAAGGATAAATGTCAATTTATGACTTAAATATAAATACAAAAATAATGAAAAATGGTTTTTGTTCTTATCTCTTATATAACCAATAACTAACCTTTTGGAATAAATGAATGATAAATAGATTTCTGCATTATTTTTACAATATATTTTTCAATAATTTTTTTAATTCAAGAATTTAGTTGTATTTAATTCCACTTTATTTGAGAAATGATGAAACTAAATCAATTACAATAATAGATTGTAACGGCACAAAAATTTGCAATTAAATAGTGAAAATTTGTTCGCTTGATCAAGAATAATGCACTCACAAAACATAAATTGTTACTCTTATGATACAAACTTAAGGTTACCTGGAGTCCAACAAGCAAAGACTCATCCTTGTTCACGCTCGTTAGGTTTCTCCTTATTCCAATACTTCAGATTGATGCAAACTCCAATTTTTTCGAAGTATGCAGAACCGTACAAGACTACGAAGCCCACGACCAACTCGAAAGCCAGGTACGGTAAAACGTTATCTCTTTACTTACAAAATGGAGAAAATATAAAAAGTAAGAAGGTACCCTAGTTCTCTATTCTTCGGTCTTATCTTTAAGTGATGCAGCAAGTTCAGAAGGCTATCAAAATAGTACAGTTCTGGTAACCATAATAGGAAAATTAAATGAGTGTCAAGGAAGTAGACTATGTGGGATAAGCCCCATCACCCATAAGAAATATCCACAAGCAGCTCCATGCACAATAAAAATAACGTCGTGATTCCAAGCCGACCCGAATATGAAAATGAAAGGGAAGAGGATAGGTCTGTACTCTCTGGGGTTATAAATAAACACAAGAATGACAGCAAATTGTCATTCTCAATAAAGTAGAGACTTCTGACAATCGAATCATACTCTGACCTTGAATTCCTCTCCCGCAAAATCAATAAAATCAAAAAAGGAAAAGATGGCAACCGTGCACGTCATGATCAATATTCCCTCCCCCAATATCCTCAGAAAAAAGTCCTCACACCCTTTGGTTTCAATAAACGTAGCGTCGCAGTGTGCATCCTACCTGGAGAGAGTTTCCGCACATGTCAATCTGATCGACACGAAAATCAAGAGGCCAGCCAAAAAGGCTTCGGGCCAGCCAAATTGCACAAGAAGCCAAATCCTGTTCTTTTCTCCGAGGGAAAGTCCGTTCCTTTCTTTAAAAAAATTTAAATCACGATCACTTTCTTCACCTTAGTTTCATTATACCTTGGTATAATGATAGAGACTCCGGAACACCTTCTTCGGAATGTTTCGCCTCTTCTCTTGGAAAATAAAATAAATAAATGAGCCCAAGTAGTGTATAAGATTTTCATGCCGACGTAAATCCTCTGCAATCTGTCAACTGCCAACATCTCTGTGGCAATATTTTTTTTCGTCTCACGACCTCAATCTTAATCTCGATGATTATTAGATGCGATCGAGTTTTCCATTCCGGAATATATTTATAATAATTTCATTAGTTTCATATGATTTTTACGTCGACATTTGGAGCGCCAAGCTTGAAATACTTCGACGCCAGCTTTCGGGAAGAGCAGTTTGCATATCGAAGACAAGGGATGGGACGAACGGACAAGAGAGGGAAAGTTGGCGCAGCGCCACGTAAGGAGTCTCTGGGTTCGCGCGAATGAGAAGGAGCCACGTGGGAGAAGAGGAGCCAAGTAAGCAATCTAGCAGGCAGAGGCAGACGGAAAGGGGTGTCTTCTGTTTCGCTCTTGCTCGTCGTCGCCTCCGGCCATTTCGTCTTTCCAGCCCCCTCCCGTTCCTTCCTCCCTCCCTCCCTCCCTCCCCGAGCCTTGGGCTCGAAGAAACGCCAGGAGAGGAGATCGCCGACGAGAAATTGGCCTGCAAGTGAATCGAACAGGGCGCCCGCCCCTCCTCGATCGTTCGTCGTCGCTGCGGAATTTCGGTGCTCGATGTCGACGATGAGGACGTGATAGCTGGAGTGAACTGGAGGAGGTTTTTTAGAGCGGAGCAGGATAAGAAAGGAGTAGGAAGCGGAGGAGGAGGAGGAGGAGGAAGAATAGAAAGTGCTTTGAAGAAGGACGAGGACGAGGAGAAGGAGAAGGAGGAGAAGAAGAAGCAGAAGAAGAAGAGGAGGAGGAGAAGAGGCTGGGGCAAGACGGGGCAGGACGGGAAAGGGAGAGGAGGAGGAGAGTGGTGGGAGGTAGGGAAAGGTCGTGCGGTAGACGGTAAAGATGGAAGGGCAGCAGCAAGAATCGGTGCAGCAGTTTTGCTCGGTGACAGCGGCCACTCCCGAGCAAGCCAAGTTCTACTTGGAAAGTTGTATGTGGCAGCTTGATTCCGCCATCCATTCCTTTTTCGAAAACGATGCAGGTCCCGCTCCCGATTCTTCCCACGAGTACGAGCAGGAGGACGATGAGGTCACGCCTCCAGTCGTTGCTGCTGCAGCCGCTGCCGGGAGGACTCCTGCAGCTGTTCCTGCAGCAGCTTCGGCAGGAGCATCGGCGCCTGCTTCCGCAGTTCCTAGCTCAGGAGGCCAAGCGCAGGGTCAGGGTCGATGGGTGACACGGGCATCGGGTCCTGCTCAGGGTTCGGGGAGTTTCGGAGGACCGAGACCTAAATCCGGGAAAGACAAGTCTGCGGCTAAATCGAATGGAGGAAGAGGGGGGATTACAACATTGTCCGATCTAAATAGACACCCTGATTCTGACAGCGACTCCGATGGCCCACAGGAGTATTACACCGGTGGTGAAAAGAGGTGAACAATCTGCTCTATGCCTGACAATTCGAATGTTTGTGCGTTTAGGTTTTGGTGCCAGGCATGTCCTTTAAGATCTGAAGAACAGTACCATTTTTCCGAACCGAAATCAATGGTGCTCTGCACTCAATCCTAGTGTAGAGATTCGAGATCGTCGAGCAATTTTCCTGTACAATATTTCAGTTACAGATTTCTGTACGACGGAGCGTGCTATGGATCATCTTTCCTTGCTGTTTTTTTACGGCCAATGCTAAGTTTTGGATTTGTTGCCTTCGACGTACAAATTGTTCCTTATACAACGAGGATGAGGGATTTTCTCAAGAACCTGCGATAAAGCTTATTATCTTGCGAGTGCTTGTGTTCGTACTTTGGTGGGCCCTTGCTAACCCCAGCTTGGCTGCAGTGGTATGATGGTGCAAGACCCTTCCAGGAGTCACCGGGATGTGGATTCTATCTTCGATCGCGCCAGACAGTTTGGAGCACGGGAAGGAATTGTGGAAGCTCCACCCGCTCCTAGCATCAGGGGTGCCTTCTCTGGCATGGGTCGAACTATTTCTGGTGAACCAAGAGCGCAGGAACCCGGACAGGCTAGTGGACCACCACCTCCTCCACCACCTGTATTCCACACTATCACATTCTGGAGGAACGGTTTCACTGTGGACGATGGACCTCTCAGGAGACTCGACGATCCTGCCAATGCTCCCTTTCTTGCTGTAAGATTCAAGGAGACTTTTTTTGCTCAATTATGGGTAGCTTCTGGTTTGCGCTTGGAGTTTGAAGCTGATTGGATTTATTTGCGCTTGGATGGTTGTGTTTGCATTTTAGCGTGGTAAGAAGTCGGGCAACCTCCGTATTACGCTGACTTCACATACTGTTGAATACCTGAAACTTTACAGTTCCTATAAGTGATGTTGAGATTCTGCATATGATGTGTGCAGAGCATAAATAAGACTGAATGCCCAAGGGAGCTGGAGCCAGCGGATCGCAACACCCCAGTACACGTAAACCTTGTGAAGAAGGACGAGGAATGGCAGGTTTGTGATTTTTTGAAATACTTTCTGCTGAACAGAGAATACTCACTTGGAACAAGTGCACGAGTTTCTGAGTGAAAGTGAACTGACAGCTGTAGTATGGAATGTTCGTTTTGCAGGCTCCTCCGGAACCTAAGTATGTCGCCTTCCAAGGCACGGGGAGGACTCTTGGGAGCTCTACCCAAACAGGTCCCGAAACCCTTGCCCCTGCTGCCGCTGCCGCTACCGCTACCCCTACCGTGACTAGCCCAACCAGCCCCGCTCCCAGAGAAGGACCTCCGAACCAACCATTCCAAGGCTTGGTTGTGGACGAGAAAAAGCCTAACACTTCAATTCAGTTGCGACTATTAGATGGAACCCGAATGGTTGCCCGGTTCAACTATCACCACACGATTGCTGATATTAGAAGTTTCATCGATGCGGCCAGGCCTGGTAACGGTGGCCCATATCAATTGCAATCGATGGGCTTTCCCCCAAAACCGCTTTCTGACTCAGAACAGACAATAGAACAAGCAGGGCTCGTCAACGCGGTGGTCATTCAACGGGGATAGGTCGTCTGTTTAGATGTGATTATCTGTGACCTCATGGAAGAGCTATTCTTTAGGAAGCTGACTGTTCTGCATGACCTCCCTAAGCCTAAACTCCAATTTTGATGGTGCTTTTGATCGAGTCAAATAAGTTTCGGTGTAATGTCATAAAACCTCTATAAAATTTGAGCAGAGCGCTGTAAATAGCACCATTTCTTTCTGCAAGAGGTTTGGACGTGATGTGCTGGTCTGGCATTCCATTGCCATGGCAGCCGTGTCTTCAAAGTGGAAGCAGGATACGCATCGAGTGGGAGTTGATAATCAAGGTGCAAGATCATTCCATTAAAGGCTGGATGGTAGACTGGTTAATTTCCTGTTCTGCTCTAGAAAAAAATCTGAGGGCCTGTTACTGTTCAGTACGTCGTGTATATTTTCTCTCCCCAGCGTTTAGTGCTGTTGAGTGGTGAGCGTTTTGCAAACTCTGCAATTTCTGAGGCTGGTTTGGACATATAGCAGGCTTTTGAACGACGTCAAATGATGAGGCCTAGTAGCAATTGGGTACCTGTCTCGTCTGACTATGCTTTTAATGGAATTTTCTCCAACATCTTGCTGGCTTACAAACAGTCTGAAGCAGCATGGGTTGCCTATCTGGATCAGTGCACTCGACAGACAAAAATCAGCAAGTGTTCTTGGGGTGTGGTCTGTCTTTCTTGTGAGTCAGCTGGTATAATGGAGATGCCATCTAAGCTGCGTCTGTCAAATTTCATACATGCAGGAAGCTTTGGGCGTGTGGTTGGTCGATGCTGTGAAGTTTGCTTCGCAAATGCTTGTAAGCATGATCAGTCTGTCGTGACTACTACTTATTGAGAGCGATTGTGTTTTCGAGTGGAGCATTCTGAGTCATACTGCAGTATTATTTTTTATATATGTTTCACAGATCTATTCCAGCCATCCTCCGCCAAACCGGCAGTGAGAGTTTTGTAGGGAATCTACACTTTTCTGTTTCAGTACAAGGCTATGGAAAGTTCATATTGGTTCCTCCAGACAAGAGACGCAAGGGAAGACACGTAGTGGTGTCGTCTTCCCCAAGCGTTGCATCTTCAACCTTCTGCAAGGTGGTTGAATCCTCATACAACACATCAGATTTTTCTTTTAATCGGCACATTGGCTGAACAAAGACGACATGTATCTGACACCGGTTCTCTGGTAGAACTCCGGAGATACATGGACACGGAACACAACGATTTGTTTGATATGCATGCCACCTCTTTTTCCGTGGCTTGCGTCTTGTGTTCTAAAACGATGTGAAATTGATGTTTATTTCATGAAAAATCTATCGCTGTTTTCACCCAGTGCTGTAAAGACCGGGTAAGATCACATGTTGCTCTGTACTGAGAGCTACACGCTTCTTATCTCATAGCATGTGCTATACGGGGACGACTGGTTAGCCGATGACGAGTTCATGCTTTTTGATGCTTTATCGACTTTTGGCAGTGGTACCGCTAACTGGCCACGAATTGAAAGCACTTACAGAGATTAATGGCTCATTTGTTGTCTAGTTCGTAGCTCGACTCATCGGGTTACTGGAAGTGGTGCGATGCGTGATTAAACTGGGCCAATCATTAACACAACGGGCTGAGGTTGTGTAGAATAACCGGTTACCAAGGTTATCATTAGCTTTCTCCTTTTCGTCTGGCCCCTGGTTTGGGATTCTATCTTACTTTTTGTGGGCCTTTGCGTTGGATTTTTGTGTAAGGCTTTTCACCTTGCAATAAGTGGAATAGCCTCCTGGTCAAGGATGTTATCAGTCGCCCCTTCTCGTCATAAGGAACTTGAAGTGCACCTCGGAAATACTTACTGGACGGACGCCTACCGAACTCCTAACAAAAGCCCAATCAGATTACATATGAGATAACAATTACTATGATCTCATCTGCTGAAAACTGGTTCACTCATCAGTTCGTAAACAACACTAGTACCAAAATACACAAAGAGAACAATCACTATTGACAACTTTGTGAAGACACTTACGCATTGTGATGTAAAGCAGACTGGGCTCTATTCACACCACAATAACGGTTCGTTTTGTATCACGAAACGTCTGCGGTTTCATCAATGCATGAGCAGAACGGGTTGTCCCATTCTTTGTGCCAACGTACTTCCTGCAGCTACTTCTTGATTGAAGTAAGTTCATGGAGGTGGAAGCAGAACGGGTTCTTCCATCCTTTTTGCCAACCTACTTCCTGCAGCTATTTCTCGATTGAAGGAGGTTCATGGAGGTGTGAGAACGGTGCACATCAAAACACATTTCGTGCAGAAGAGAAGACATCTTAACACTCCAGGTCAGAAAAAACACAATACAGTTGACGGAGCACGTCACGTACCCGAGAGGACAATTACTCGTACACGTCATCAGCGCGAGACGGGAGTGGCTGGAAGAAGTGCGAGTTCTCTCCTCCATCCTACGTGTCAAAGACGCTAGGTCAGTTATCTCTCGTACACGTCATCAAAACGACACGTGAGTGGCTGGAAGAAGTGCGAGTTCTCTCCTCCATCCTACGTGTCGAAGACGCCAGGTCAGCCGCGGCGAGACGTGAGGGCCTGGGAGAACGTGCCGGACTGGTCTGGTAACGGTGAATGGGATGAAGCGGGGCCCTGCGTGTCTGATGAAGTCCGACAGGTCAGCAGTGCCCGACTCCATCATCTTCTTACACGGACAATTCAAGAGGCGCTCTCGGAGAGACGAGATGGCTATGGCAGCAGCCTCGCTGGTGGCAGCGCCCAGTACAGCGGCGCTTTCCGGCCCCGCTTGTCAAATCGGGTGCAAATCGGAGCAGGCGGATGTGGGAAGGGCGAGGGCAAATTGCCGTGCGGTGAATGCGATCGCTGCAGATGGGCTCGCTGCCTTTTCTGCTTCTTCTTCGTCGTCGTCCTCCTCGTGTGGCGGATCGTTGCAGGTGAGCTGCGGGCGTAGGAATTCTCGCCTCGCATGGAAGAGCTCTTCGCAGCTTTTTGGACTCGGTGGATGTGGATGTCACGGATCGAGGCCGAATGCTCGAGCCCCGGGGAAGCTCCCTCGCGGCGGTTCGGTTCGAATTTCTGCCGAGAAGATCGATCCCACTAATGGTGTGTCAACCTTCTTTCGTTCCTCATCGTTTAGGGTGCCGAGAGGTTCCGTTTCTTGCCGAATTTCACCTGCATTTGTCTGGCGTCTCGTGCAGAATCGTGGCCATTATGTGCCGTGTTGAATTTAGCGGTTTTTGCGCTCTTTACATAGAATTTGTATCTATCACACAAAGTCAGAACCCTTAGCAAAGATTTATCGGGTAATTGCTTGGCACTGATCAAATTCTAAGCTCTGGGGTCCTTCGAATTCCCGCAGACAGAAGATATCACCTGATTTTCGAACATCATATCATCTGTGATGTTCCTTATAGTTCACTTCCTAATTCTGTCAATTTGGGCTGTAAGGCTGTAAGTACATAGGCTGCAGTTGAATCGATGGACGATACAGCTAGGAAAATGCGATCTGTGCAATTCAATTGGAAGAATAGTTTTTACAAGTACACCATGTGTCTAAATTCAAAGTGTGCTTCCGTAGTCTCTCTTTGTCCAGAATTTCAAGTGAAGAATGTCATTGCTGTTTGGATTACAGAATTATGTGTTTCGTAATGTTACTGTCAATGTGCACTTGACTGATATGCATGTGTCTTCAACACCCTCCGTTTAGTACTTTGCCTCTTTTTGTTCCACTATTTGTTGTTCTAGTTCTAGTTTTACTTTTTTGGCGTGTTCTTTCTAAACTCACGGGCTAAAGAGGCCTCAATTTTGGTTATCTTTGCACGGTACAAATACTGTAACTCCTCAAACTGCACACATCAAATTCTTGCCCTCCTGCTCATAGTGACGTCCGTGATTGCCTCTCTTGAACAAGGACACGAGCAGACTTCTTCATCTCTCTCGTGACACTCAATGTGGGTATGTAGTCTACTCTCGGTTCTTGTGATGGCTCCTTAACACAAGGCTCAGGCCCTAGGCTTTCAACGTGATAAATATGTACTTCAGGGCCTCACCCTCCACGTACACACCAACTAACGCCACAGCACTTAATAATGTCCCGTTCGGTCTTGCTTTCTTTCGTTAGGACCTGTCATCGTGCCTATTCGCTGTTTTTGTTTTTGCCACCTTGCTTCTCGAGGATCGGTCTCATGTTAGTGGATCTGCCTGTATATCACCAGGCAATTATCTGGATCTGAATTAACGTGCTTGTTTGTGATACAGTTATAGCTACACTTGTGAAGCTCGGGAAGCAAGGTCTCGAGGTCGGCACGAAGCTCGTCCCTGTACGTTCACATGGACTACTTCTTTCTGTCAAATTTAGAGGAGATTATTGTTCTCCATCGTGTTCCTTTGTATTTTTCAGATTTTGTTGCTGATGTTACTTACGCTTCAGTTGTGTTTTACCACAATCTTCGAGAGGATGCTCAACAAGAGATTGAAGGTCTTATTTCAGACGCTGTTGGACTTCAGGATTCCGTTCCAAGACCTGTGGCCCAAGCTGGTGTAGGATTGGCCGGTCTAGTGGTGGGATCTTTCGTCTTGAGGTCACTCTTTTCAACTGTTTTCTTCATAGTGGTAATACTCTGGACCATCTTATACAACACTTTACTGCGACTGGATTTCTTGATTATGCATTATCCTTTTGTGCTGCAGCACTCTCGACTGTTGCATGCCCAGTTGTCCTTGCCCTCTTGTTATTAAGGAAGAAAATGTTATGGGTTGTTAAAACCAGAGCTGTGTTATGTATATACACGAAAGTCCTCATCAAAGTATATAGTTATTGTATATTACCACCCCCTTACCCTACCTAAAGTTCACACAGAAGCCGTATTTTCAGCTCAATCACGATTTAGTTTTTTTATCTGCAATTGGAAGCAGTAATTGCTCGTAATGACTGTCCAGACTCTATTTTCAGGTAGTATAGGTAGTAGCATTCTTTGGGAACTTCTGTCGAGTATATGGTGCAATCCCCTACAGTATCAACGATGATATATTGCTCATGAACCGATTGTGAACAGCAGTAACGCCCTTAGACTTGAGGCCTTTCAGTTAATTCTTTCTGATGAACAACACCGAACTCATTAGTGTCGAGGTCGTTGTTCACGTGTCATGCTTAGTTCATGCTCAAGCTGCCCAGTAAACTGTTGCCTCCTGGACCTGGTTTTGAGAGTTTCGGAGAATAGGTGGCATAAGAGAATAGGTTGCAGTAGAGGTTATGAGGATTGCCTAGTTTTCATAGGTCGAGCACATTATTTATCGAGATCTTCATTGGCCTTTCACCGTGCAACTGAAACAACTGGCTCCGTCCGCAGCAAGCGCTTGCCAATTCGGTTCATGGCTTTGGGTTAATAGGTGCACTTCGTAATTCGTACATGCATGTCTCTGTGTCACAGGCAGTCGGAGGGCTAAGTTACATTGGGTTTCTTTACTTAACAAAAGGTGAGGGCAGCAGTTCTTCTGGGGGCACTCTTGATAAGGGTTCTGGTAAGCCTAAAAGCACAGACGAGGCTCTGGAAGAGGCACGCAAAATCATGGATAAGTACAAGTGATGGAGGGGTCCGCAGTCTGGAGTGCACACGCCTATTTCACAAAGTGGATTAGCCAGTTTTTTGACTGGTCAGGCATGTGACCATATTCATGTGCCAAGGGCTTGTAAATCTTGAACAGCTCATGTATAGAATGTACAATGCAGAGTGTTGAACCTGGAAGCGATTGTAATCTTATGGACGGAAGGGAGGGCCTTTTTCCCGCACGAGAAATACGAGAAGTCAAACTTCCTGAATTGTTGGGTTGCGTCGAGTTGAGATTTGAGCCTCTGAGCTGTCCAGCCTTGCCTTTTGCATCACATGCCTTGCATCTGGACATGAAGCATTTGCCTGAATGCACTTAGAAGTCGGTTGTTTCTTTTCGTTTCGACAGATTGAATTTTGTGAGCTATCGGTGTTCGTTCTCAAATTAGCTCTGAAACTCGCCATTAAAGAGCTCCTCAAGGGCAGTCAACCAAGGTACACATGAAATAACTTGTCGTCTGGCGATGGTCTCCGTCTGCAACATTTTCCGACAGTTCGTTAGTAGACAGTAACAATTATCGTAGAGAGGGTCGAAGTCCTCATTGTGGCACATGGAACACACAGCTACAACTCCTTGCCTAATTTTCTCACCACCTCGAGAAAGCCATCAGTTCACCTTTCTTTGCATCATTAAGATTCTTCTTGCTTGATCCCAGCGGAAGATGCTTCCCCTAACCACCGGCTAATGTTGCTCTGGTCGTGCCTGTTTGGGTCACAGTTGGGGTTTCTCATCTGAAGATGATGAGGACGACTGAGCACGATTCGAGGCTCGTTTTGGCCCGGGGGCCTGTCACAAAGTCCAATTTCCTGTGCCTCCAGGGGCCGGTCTTCAAGATACCATTGCAGCATCCCGCAGCACCTTAAGCCTGGATGCCCGAGAAGAATCCGCTGCTCCCAAGGAGTCCATCCTGTGGAGAAGTGGGGCCCGGAGCCATCGACCGACCTTTCCTCCTTCGGAAGCTGCTGCTCAAGAAACGAACCTTGACGGGGGAATTGAAAAGTCGCTAAACTTTTTCAGAAAAGCCACGAAGTTTTGAATCTCCCGGTAAAGGTGGGCGGGGGCTGGTCCTGAGGAGATCAACGACATGGAAAGTAACGGGGAGTTGAGTTTTTCCAAGTGAGTGGCACGAGGATTCTCAGTCGAGTGTGACACGGGTAAAATCAAATGTTTGAAGGAACAGCTCCTGCCGAAATCAGCTCCGATGGAGATCTTAAGATGGTCTCTGACGTACGCCCCTGCGTGCTTCGCAACTGTAGATGTCCTTTATACGATTGTCGAGAATCACTTTCTGCACATTGGCGAAAACGTGCGACTGTGAGCAGAAAAGAACGTGTGCATGAAGAGTGGGGCTAACCGATGTGTCCGAGAATCAACCCACCGCTCATGCTGAATAGAGAGCGAGTCGGCAGATTCTTAGTTTTATAAAGCTAAGCGGCGGGCGCGTCAAGATCCAGGCGAATTGGATGTCTCTGACTCGGACCTATGATCTGGTGGAAAGTAGGGAAGAGCATGAGCTGCTGGAAATGCCGGCCAAAATTGAAAAACTGTTGAAAAACTGTTACTTATTGTGTATTTGCATACTGAGTCAAAAGGGATGTGCAGAACCTTGGGTCACTGTAGTTAGAGATAGGAGGGAGAGAAAATTCTTTCTCTGCGAAAAGAGAGCAGCTAAGGATTGAAAAGGCTCGAAGATGAGAGTAGCAGTTGCTGAACAGTGACCAGATTGATTAATGTCAATACGCACGATTCGTCGCTACGAGATGTGAAGGCTTTGGTGACCACTGTTTAGGCTGACAAGTCGAATCTGTGATGAATTAAATGAATAACAATGCAGGACATAAATCTCTCCAGAAAGCAGGACGTGATGTCTCCGCAGAGGCCGGCACATTGTCGAGCGAATATGGAACCTTGCGACTTTTGCATGCGTTTTTCTACGAGTTAGCAACTATTTGTACAAGTTGAGCAGAAGTATAAGTTCTGGCGCAGGCGATGAGGAGAAGAGATGGATGGGTACAGCTGTTGTGGCATGAACTAAATATTCATATATATATATATATATATATATATATATATATAAACAGCAACTGGCAAAGGTTTGACGGGTTGATGGCCCAGGAAGGACACCGTGTCGGCCCAATCGGATGCTACCAGAAGTTTGGAAAGAGACCTCTCCACGAGATCGGCTGATGCTTTTCAAAGACGTAGAAATCTCCAGAAAAGCTGCGTGGCAGATCGATTCTCCCCAGAAAGGTTTCCGTTTGTTTTCTCTCTATAGAATCTTACGATCAGTCTCTCGTCTGTCTCTCTCCTTTCCGCTACTGACTGGGATAGACACCGGTCTCATAAGTGGTTGACTATCCCCTTCCCCTCCCACGTCGATCAGCAATTTGTCGCTTCCATTTCGTACTTCTTCTCCTTCTCGCCATGCTTTCTTCTTCTGCTTCTTCTACTTCCATCTTCCTGGAAAGTCGGCCTTCCTCTTCGAGCTTGCCTCATTGACTGCCTTGTTCCCATATGTGTCGAATTGATTTGCCTTAACGACATGTGTATGTTGTACACACACATAAAGTTCGCATCATCTCAAAGACTCTCCAAGTTCACGTTTGTCGCATGGGCGGCGCTCTTACGGGTATAGAAGGATGTATGCTAACAACCAGCAAAGGGAAACTTTTGTCGTACCATGGCATATCTTAATATCGTATTGAAAAATCCAAAAAGCACGAGAGAAACCTTCAACTCATCATTACGGTACTCCTGCTTCCGCTGCTTCTGGTTTCTGTTTGTACGTCTCTATGTGTGATGCTTTTGCCAAGTCTTTGCTGGAGAATCGTAGTGCCCCACACCTTCAAACATCTTGCCTCGTCCCCCTTCTGCCACACGCACCTTTCTGCTCGGATTTTCGACGTGTCCTTCCCATTTTCATTCCCCTCCCTGTCTACCTGGACGAAGCAGGGAATACCTGATTTCCTGATTGACATTCTTTTGGGTGTTGGCTCTGCCTCCAACTTATCTTGTCTCGACATCTCCTCCTGATTTGCTTCCGTCTTCAAATTTAACACTTACCAGCAGCGAACGAAACTTCCAAAATTGGCCTCAAGAGAAGTATAGGATCAATTTAGGTCAAGAGGCGGCTTTCGAAGAAGGCTATTCTCAATAATATCATAGTGGTGGAGTAAATTCAGTGGCATTGTACCCGAAGATCCAACTTTCCAAGAGTAAGGTCTCATCCATTTGTAAAGGCATCACGGAGATCTCCTTTTTGGACGTCTGCTGTTAAGGATAGAAAGATGTATCGTGCGGTGGCATTAAGTAAACTGCACGTGAGATTGTACGGGAGTTGGAATATGTGGAAAAGGTGAGGGTTTCAAAGAGGCCTCTCGGCCTTTTTTGGAGTTGGATTCGAGGAGATGTTTCTTCTACATTGATTCCGAGCTCCACGACTCTCACCTAAATCAGTTAGATGTTTGTTGATTATGGTACTACACGAGTCATCTTCACACAATTGTGTGTTAGCAGGCAGGCAGTGTAAGGGGGGACCTCGAGATTCTTGCATTGCTTGCCATCGGTGCGTTAAAAAGAGGAAGCTTAGAAGGACTGAAGGACAGAGTTAGGTACCTGGGGCTCGTGGAGACAGCTTCGTGAGAGCTGCGCTCCTTCGCTTTTTGCTGCTGTTAGCTTTCTTGGAACATGAAGCTCAAGAATCGAGAACTGCCGGAGCGTGATCGTTGGTCTTTTGCAACCTTGTAGCCTCGCACACTCTCGCGGTACGTGTACTCAGACCCAACAGAGAGCAACGAAAACTCGACGCACAAATGTACTTCTTTTCCCACATGCGGCTGCCGGAGTATGGGAGGAGTAGACCAGTACCCCATCTGCAAGATGCTGCCAACCAGCACAGATTCTGCGACTTGTGCAGCCACAGCAACAACGACGGCTCTTCCACAGTGCTTCCAATCCGCTTTCTTTCCTCGGAGCATCTTCTCGCTCGCCGTGACAGCCTTCTCTCGAAGAGCATGGAAGATTCTTGCCAACCCTCCTCATTCAAAGCCGCCATGTTTCTGTTACGCCATCCCTTCCATTCCAGTTCCAGGCCGCTCACGTTCGAGTTCCAGGTCTCAGAACGGCATCTCCCAGCCTCTCGTCGTCTCTGGATCAGCGGCTTTGTCGTCGGACAGTCCGAATCCACATCGTCCCCGAATCAGATGAACGAAGTTGGTGATGAATTCAAGAATTTGGGACAACTTCACTTCTCGAGGTTCTGGGGCTCTAAATCCCCGTCTTAATCACCGATACCACAAACTCCGATCCACACTTCCGAGATACCGGTACATTGCAGATGATCGAACTTCTCATTCTGAGCGAGCGTTGGGGTCTCGATTTGTTCTCCAGCGGGGCGTTATGTCTTTCCCTGTAGCTCGTGTAGCTCGTATAGCTCAGCGCAGGCGCGCTTCAGATCTTGTCTCGCTAATCCCGTTCGCCAGCGAGAAAACGGTCAAGGTCGCTGATCGCCGCCTAATCACTGACTAATCACGTCGTGAGCTGTAATCTCGCGTAGCGTAGGGGAGGAGCATGATAACCCGACAGATTCTGAAAGATTTGGTCGTCGATGTCACACTCACCAGTGCATTACCGCTGGGGCTGTCATACTTATCCTCTGAATTAGCACCTAATCAGCCTACTTGATTCAAATCATCGACGCACCAACGCATGCTAATCGTGCGGGAGCAGCATTTAAAATCCTTAATTACGTTGATTCGTTGGCTCTTGAAGTGGTTTTGTACCCATGGTCTCACTTTAATCATTACCACAATCATCAATCGGGAACTAACCCACGTAGTTATTTCAACGCCACCCGGGCTATGGGGTGCCACTGGATGGTACCTCGGTTGCTTCAGGCTGGATCCAGTACTCTCTCATCACGACGTCGCTCACCCCGTACCGCCATGGTCACCCCACCTGACTACGGTTGGATCCCTCGATTGGGTTCATTAAGACCCTGTACCGCAGATGATGAGGTGTGCTCTCTCCACATAATCATGTCTAACCACGTTGTCTGCTGATTTGGTCCTACGCAGTTGAGCGTTTTCTGCTGCTTTTTGGGGTCGCAAATCATTCTCCTATCCGCTTTTTCCTCTCTAAAGCGAAAAGTACACCATTCATACATTCTCCTACTCATTTTCATAAATCGATTGAACGCAAAGTTCTGGGAAAAATGCTGATGTCAAAACTACCAGAGGAAATCATCAAGGAACAAGCCGAGTCCAAGAAATGTGAGAAAGAACAAATATTACATTTTCATTTGTTACTATCGACGGAAAGAGCGACCCTTAGCTATAAAGAGGAGATGAAAAAAGCTTCGAAAATATATGATAATGACCAAAGCCAATAAATTTTATTGCCTTTGGTCCGGATTTTAATATCTTCCATCATTATTTATCAAGTATGACTCTGTTTTTCTATTTTTCTGCCCATTTGGCCCCTTTTGATTTTACTAAAATAATCATGAATAATTTATATAAAGATATTTAAGATGGTTATATATATTATTCTTATCATTTTTTGTTCGAGATGAGGTACTTTTTGGCCTGATTATGCGTGGATTTCTCGGAGGCTCGAACGCAACACTGTGGACGACTTGTAGGCGTGTGGTACACCGAAATAGATTTCTCGGACGAATCTACGCTTTTGGGCTGTACAAAGAAATGTACTGATCGAGGTACTTGGCTACACTAGAACATTCTACAGAACGGTATACGGTACGTCGATACCGAATCGATGAGTGGATAAAAATCCCCAGAGACAAATCCTTGTGAGCGGCCACATGAACGAACATTCATGCGATGGACGAGGAGGAGGAGGAGGAGGAGGGACGAGAGTCGTCGCCTTCTTCGACTCCGTGACCAAAAGATCTCGCGGGTGCCAAATATCCGAATTCGAGGAGGCTCACCGACGCCCCTCAATGCCTCAAATTCCGTCCGTGAGTTCGCCTATTTCTCTTATTTCTCTTCACGTGAAATTCAGTGGTCGCCTAATTTGAGCTTTCGGCTCGAGGCTGCGACGAGGAGACACGGAATCGCTTGAGCCTTAACGGCGCCTCCCGGAAAATCCACAACTCGATGCCGCAGGAGCGTCCGCGAAATTACACAACCCCACTGTAAAATTGACTGTGCTTTGAACCACGGTAAGTGAACGTAGTATGGATAGCATGAATAATAAATGCCATAAAAACACTTATTCTATTAAGAAGGTTGGGAACTGAACAAGGAACGAGCATATTGAAGAAGATTTAGTAAGATAATCGAGGAGAATGTTTCTAAAAAGTTTTGTCACGGAACGTCTGCATCTATATCTTCCATTCCATTCCTTTACCCCTTGCTTTCATCCATGTACGACTGGATGGGGTCTTCCCATCCTTTGTGCTTTATTACTCGGTTTAATTCAATTCCCACGAACTTCTGTTTACTTGAATTTGGGATTAATCCCATGTATGATGAGTGAGGGCAATTACCAGCGTAAAGAAGTATACACTCAACCAACTGATTTCGTTACGCGTGCATATCCACCTTCCAACTAACTGCAGTAGGTCGGGAGGTTATATTGATGACGATGGTCATGAGGTACTTGTGTTACTTATCTTGCCCACAAAATCTTGGGAGGAATTTGCTGGGAGGTTGATTGATACGTGCGTGTGTGTAGTGAAATAGATAGGGTTAAGATAAGTCACCCAACAAGTTGACTCAACAGGGCTCCTTCCTCGGCGTTGTGAGGGGAAAAACTCCTCCTGTTTCCAAATGAGCACACGAACAAATATAAACGTCATTACATAAAGTGATGATTTCAAAGCCTGAAATGATTGAGATCAGTCGCTATCCTTTGAGAAATAGTTCTCTAATTTAAAGTCAAGACGATTGGATCTGCAGAAAAGGAAACTTGAACTGGATTTTGACAACCGTAGATTCTATAACTTTACGTTTTGTGCACTTCTCATTTTTTTATGTTTATTTTTTAACTCTTTGACTTAGACAAGTCTCAAATACATTCCAGTACGTACTATTCTACCTCGTGGGCATCGTTTAAGGGCATATTATGAAACTATTCCCATCAACAATAATTTTCAATTTTTCCTTAAATGATAATAATGTTTCAATCATTCTACCAGATAAATGATATATATTCAAGTGTAAAATATTTAGAAATTTTTCAATTACTTTTACCAGAGATTTTCTTCAGCCGTTCTCTTCAACTTTACATTATTTCTATATTCAAAGAGATAATGAAGCTGCAGCATAGTAACTTATATCCACCAGATGTATAAGTTGATTAACTAGAAAATAAATTTGGTATAGAAATTTTATTGAGAGAACTATGTAATGAAATTAAAGATCATAAGATATGTTAGTTTATATATTAAAAGATAAATAAAAAATCTTAAGAATATCTTAAAAATTTTTAACCCAAAGCTGGGGATGTATACCTAAATTATGACCTCTTCTTTTTCTGCTTTTTTTCCTGATTCTACGTTAAAAGTAAAAAATTCTGTAGGATAAGTATTGTGTTTGATATATAATAGTAGTTTCAACGGCCCGTTAAAGAACAAATCAAATACCTGTACATTAATAACCTCAGTTAGAAGATTCATATAACTTGTTTGCTCAAAGGTTCCGAAAATTATTTGCTCACATCGATCATTTTTGTCTACAGATACTTCCATATTATATACATTTATATTTGTCTCCAAATTTATCCATACATCAATGTTCACGCAATCCAATTCATTTCTTCTTTACGGTATGTTTTTTGTACCACACATAGAAAAAGAATGAACTTTTCCATTTTTCGTTACGGCGTTGTTTTTAGTTGTGAATATCTTTCTTAAAGGCAGAGTGGAGACAGTTAAACAATATATATTCCACAATTTTCTTCTAGCTTTTTTCATGAAATGATGCCAGGGTTTTGAGACTTACATCCATCCTTGGGAACACTATTACGGAAAAGAACTTACAAGAAACTAGTGCGATGAAGAATGCTTCGAGAATAATGTGAAGATCCTTATTCGAAAAATATGTTTACAATTATATTCAAGTTAAAGTATTCAATTGTGCTGCAATCAACTTATTTGTTCATATAGTCGGATATATACACTAAACCAGGAGCTCGGAGAGTTTGAACCGAATTCAACAAGCAGATTAGTACTGCTTCATGACCAAACAAGAAAATTAATTGGTGCATAAGATTCCCGAGGAGAACAAGTATAAACAGGTCCTTTTCTCATAAGTTCCCACTTTATTGCCTGTCATCACAAATATAACGAACTTCCGATATTTGGGCAATTTGTCCACGAAAAGCTCGGTTGCACGTTTCATGTGAACAAATATCCGGACGTCTTTACACCGCTTAAAACCCTCGAAAAAAATAAGACTTGGTTATCTTGTACCACATATAAATTCTATCAATTGAATGATGATAATGAATATATCCGGTCAAGGTGTCTGCTTATGATGACTTGGGAATTTTGATTCATATGTAGATAATGACTTCGAAGTTAATAAGTTATGTACTTAGACTTGCGTCTCTGCTCGTTTGAACTAGTATTATATCATATTTCAAAATTTTATTTCCAATTCCATTCGCCTCTAAGTGGGAATATTTGGTGATTACTATATTCAGTTGTAAACAATTATGGAACTGGCACATTTCAGAAAGATAGAATCTTGTTATTGAGTTCACGGAGATGCTGTTCAAGTTGGAGTTCTATGATGACACCGAAAATCATGACTTCGGCTTCAAAGTGTGTACGAGACAAAATTAAACGAAGGCCCCTTCCCCCTGTTTTTTCGCGCTTACACCTTCTATTCTATGATTGTTTATTCGTCTCTCGGACATAAAGAATACTTTGAATTATTTGGCAAGAATAGAATCTTCAATCTAGTCCAATGAGGAAAAATTCATGAGTATATGTGATAAATCTCTGAATAATGACTTATATTCTGTATATAAGGAAAATTTGTATAATTCTTATCAGAGAAGAGTATGTTCTGAAAATGGAAAAGAATATCTCGTTTTAAGACTTTTGGGCGTTGCAGGATATTCCGGTAGATATACATGTTAAGACATTAAGATTCAATGCAGCGAGTTTAGATATATGGTAAGTGTTCTACTCAGTTTTGGTCTTATGGTGAAATTATGTCAGTTACAGGTTTCCCAATATTGGCTTTCACAGCCATTAAAAACTCTGATGGCCTTCTTGGGTGCAATACATGATACAGAGTTCAAAATTTTCCCATATATACAATTCGGACAAAGTACAGTCATGAATTACTGTAAGAGCGTTTCAATATGAAGGTTTTCAT